GCCAGGATATATGGTTATGGAGATACGGAAAACAACGCAAGGGAAAACGCACATGCCCCTCCTACCCCCAGCACACGCTCACATTTCGTGAGGTTGTAGAAGTGCATAAACGAAATAAATTATGAGTAGAATTCATAATTTGTCGGAGTGTGAGCGAACCTTCAAATACTAGCATCTGGCGACGCCTCGTTAATAAATATTCTCAATCTTCTTTGTGTGATCTCTAATATTAAGCATTCCAAGCATCATATGTCCACGAGAACTTCGACCTTATCTCATTTCTAGCATCACATTCATTTCAGTTGAGCATGTAGTCCAAAAACTCCGTATCATGGAATTCTGACTCAGTGTACTAAAGGATATTTCCATAAGCTTGACCTTTTTCTTTAATGTTTTAGTTAGGTATGTTCCTGGCATATCAAAATATTTGCTGAAGTTTCAAATGTTAGAGTCGTGTAAATGTGCAAGAGTATGTTTTTGTCTGACAAACGTTTTTCAGACACAAACGGTTATATACTCCGTAGTCTGTTAGAAACGTAATTTAACTGGAAAGCTAAGCACCATAAGCTTTTAGTTCGTGTATTTGCCATCGACATTGAATATCGATGTGATTTAGACGCGAGTTTACCGTGTGTCCATTAATGCATAGAAAAACGTTGTTAGTTAAGAATCATGAAACTATACTGGGCTGCTTATTTTTATATGTTTAATGAGGTAATTTTAGTTTATTTGTAAACAAATCAACATACCAAAAGGTTCTTCCCCAGAGGTAAATATATTTGAGAATATCATAACATAATGTTACGCAAAATATCCTCATTAGATGTCATTTTGTTTATATTAATCACGTGAGTTCGCTCTGGAGTTAGCACGGGAGTACGCTTGTGTGGAACCACGTGATCGATTCACTAACTTAATCCACGAAGCTGCTTGAATCACAGAGAATCACAGGCTTGTAAGCGCGCACTCAAAGGACTAGATGCACAGAGATATTAGGATAGGGACGTTGCTTTTGCCAAGTTCCATGGAGATATCCGAGGTATATTGCAAAGCCTTTTTTTGTCAGAACCTAATGAATGGTAAGATAAAGCATCAAAAATTAAAGAAAACTTATGGACATAGTTGTGTTGTAAAAAATTTTCTGTGTCATTGTTTTATAAGTAGTGGTGAAATAAGTTTGTTTCTTTTTAAAAGGTGAGAGTGGTAGACTTAGCATTGCGTCTATAATTGCCTCATTTTTAACACTTTTCAATTGAATGTTTATTTGCTGTATAGGGGTTACTGTTTGTAACTTGCGATGTATTTTATGAATTGAAAATAATGGCGTTTCACAAACAATGCCTGGAGAATCTTTTTTTCAGAACTCGTAACGTGTATCAAAGCAAACTCTCGCTGCGCTTTCGGATCCATGCTCTTCAATGCGCATTACAGCGTAGCAATTTGTAAGCCAAGGAGAGAAGACTGTTCAGTTAATTAAATAAAAAGATGTAACTTTTGCAGTTTATATTCAAGTGAACAATGCAATCATGAAGATACAGTAAAAAAAGTTTTTTGCTCTTGGAATCCATTAAACCCTATTTGCAGTATTGAATACGCTGCAGCGAGGAGAGCACCTTAGGCAAAGCGGCCTCTCTGTCGCGTTCGAATCGGGAAACCCGCTTCACTGGGTTCGAGTGGCGAGTGCGTGCAGCGAGGAGAGCACCTTAGGCAAAGCGGCCTCTCTGTCGTGTTCGAATCGGGAAACCCGCTTCACTGGGTTCGAGTGGCGAGTGCGCCGGGGCAGCAGTCCGGCAGAGAAACAGCAGCTCTCCCCTCCCCTTCCCCCTCGACCCCTCTTAGACCAGGAACTTCGGTATGTATTAGTGGCGTTTCACTTCTCGGCTCGAGGGTCAATTGGAGTTGCACATTCATTAGAGCGACTGAGGAGCTTAGAATTCATAGGCGAAATAGAGGGAGTCACCCGTTGATCTGGAAGCTCTCACCCCTCCCCCCTAGTTTCCTCCTCGCTCCGAACTAATCTCACCATTTGGTTCCTTGCTCCTCTCCCCGCTCGAATCATCGCGAGCAGCCATCTCCATACTTCCCCTAGCTTTCTCTCTCTCCGCTCCATCACAGCTTCTCTCGCTTCCCTTTGATGTTTCACCCTGCTTCGCCACACTGACCCCTTTCGGTCAAGACCAACCTTGAACCATCCCATCCCTTCACGTTCCGCGACGTCTCTTCTCGTCGCGTCCCGTCCCGTCGCGTCCCGTCCCGTCCCGTCCCGTCCCGTCCCGTCCCGTCCCGTCCCGTCCCGTCCCGTCGCGTCACGTCGCGTCCCGTCCCGTCCCGTCTCTTCTCGTCTCTTCTCGTCTCGCCCCGTTGCGTTTCGTCTCTTCTCGTCTCGCCCCGTTGTGTTTCGTCTCTTCTCGTCTCGCCCCGTCGCGTCTCGTCTCTTCTCGTCTCGCCCCGTCCCGTCGCGTCTCGTCTCTTCTCTTCTTGTTTTGTCTCCTCTCGTTTCGTCTCGTTCCGTCTCGTACGTCCCGTCTCGTCCAGTCTTGCCTCGTCTCGTCCCGTCTCGTTCGTCCAATCTCGTCTCCTTTCGTTTCGTTCCGTCTCGTTCCGTCCCGCTCGCTCACGCGCTCGTCTGCCTGCCAACCCCGTCTCTTTGCTTGTCCATTCAACCGCCTCTGAACTTGATCAAAACAATATCATCTTCCTCATGCCTGCCTGATTCTGCCCCTGGACACCCGTGCCTGTCCGTGCACGTACCCATGTCCCCTTCATACCTCCGGGAATTTCCCTGTGCATACCACTCTGCCCGCACAACCATCCATCCTGCCTCACGTCCCATATTCTCGTGGCTGTGTCCTGCCCTCTGCGTTTTCCGTCCCTTCCTAAGCACTCTTCTTTCTTCTCTCCTCCCGCGCTGACCCGTGTCGCCTCGCCTCGCGACATGTCACCGGATGTTGCATTTTTAACACCGTTAGCATTTCACGATTTCTTCTCCTCGCTTACGTCCTCTGCGACGCTCAAACAGTCACGAATGGCATATTGACCTCCTCGCTTGTGCTTCTTGATAAATTAATTTCCTTCCCTAAATAACATTCTATGGAAAGAAGGAAGTGTATATGTGTAATTTAGGAAATGCTTATGAATATACCGATGATTCAATAATATACAGAGTAATGAGAATTTTATGTTAATTTGATTATTAGGATAATTAATGCAATTATATTAATATTAATAGTAATAAATCAAATGTTAATAATTAATAATTGTAATAATGGAAAAAAATCGAGAAGTGTCCATAAATCATTCTCTTAACCATTCGATCATAAATTACCTCTCTTGGCTGTAGATTTGTATTTAACGTTGGGAACTATTTTGCAAAGAAAGTTCATTTTGTGCATCAAAACATACAAAGACCAAAAATAACGATTTTTGGGAATAAAAAACTTTCATTGAAATGTATTGAAATACTACATTTATTTGAAAAGTATTGAATTGAAACATTGCATTAGTTTTCATATGGGGACGTATATTCGGAATGCAGTATTTAGACTAAGCGTATTGGAAAAAATAGTAATGTAGATGAACCATAACTTCCTAAAAAATATTCCTTTGATATTGCGGATTATTTTATTCAAAATTTATATAAAGCAAAGAAGTTTTTAATATTTTCAATTTTAAATCGTAAACGTAATTTCTTTTTAATTCACATTTTATATATTAGCCATTGGTTTACATAACATTCATTAAAACCGCAATCAAAAAGTACCAAACCAACAAACAGCAGCAGTTTCATTACAAAATCAGCATTGCTGCAAAACAAATGGATGTTTCATTCCCTTTAACTATTTCATTATTACGACTCTGTGAGGAGGTGTAAAATTTTGGGCAGTATCCAATTGGCTCGTTGCATAAACATGTACCACAGAAAATAAATAGAAACGGACTTGAATTATTGAATACTTTTATTCTTTAATGGAGCATTGAAAAAGTCTTTGTTTTATTGCCTGCGTTCATAATGTACAGGAAAATAATGCTGATGCATGATTCATTCTTGTTAAAAGCATCCAAATTGTTGTTTAACGAGGGAGTGGTGCTTTTCTGTTTGACTTAATGAACGTGGCAAGCAATATCATGATTCTTGTATATACTCCATTATCCCGACGAACGGCTGTGTGAGCATCAGTAATTCCTTACATTGCGTTGCTCAACATGAATTCAATTACCGCAAATCACACATTATGGAATCATGAATCACATTAATCCTTTTTTTCAAAGTACTATGGCATTGTGGCTTAGAGTGAAATTCATGTTTCATCACACGCGTCATAGTGTTTCCTCTTTAGCAAGAGTGTCGAGCGAAATAAAAACCAATAGTTCGGATAGCATTCGAAGCATCCAGAATCAAATTATTCATCTTCAAACTAATCTTGTTTCACATTTTGTACTATTTTGAGTTTGAGAATTCAAAATGATACATTCCAATCCTCCGTACTAAAAGTCAGTGTGTGACAGGTTTATTTCAAAGGGCAAAGTAATATGTTTCTACGATAATGAGATTCAAAACGATATAAGGATGAAAAAAACTGAACTCGAGTTTCCTAGATTTACATCGTGCAGGGATAAATACATTTTCAAGCTCATGCAACGGAATTCATATTTTATAATAGCTTCTAAAACGAAGTTTAAGCAGAAATCCTTGAAGTGGCCGCCACGCAACCCTCTTTGTCGAGCAAGCGCAATCTACTAGTTGCTGTGTGGGTCCCCACATGAAACGCAGGCCAATGAGAGGAGTGATGTCAAGTTACAACTCTGACGACTTTATAAAATATTGAAATTTATTTTACTTGGGTTCACAAAAATATCTTTTATATGTTTTTCGTCTTTTACTTTTTTAAAGCAGGAATTTTTTTAACTCCCGGTAAAGTAATGAATATTTTAATACAGCTTCTGATTCAAAGTTTTAGCTAGCAGCGTAAATCCTTGAAATGCCACCGCACGGTCGTCTACTATTGCGAGCATATTGTATTAGCAGCCCCACATCTCCCCACGTGAAACCCAGTCCGAGCCCCGAGTAGCAGCCAAGTGCCGTCCATTTGGGGGCGGCGCGGGCAGGTGGGACACGTAACAGGGCGCTGGGGCCGCGCCAGACCTCGTCCTCGTCGTCCTCGTCCGTCCCCTCGCCGTCCTCGGCCGGCCGCGCGCGGGGCGGTCTGATTCCGGTCGGGCGGGTGTGGGTTCAAGTCCCGTCCCCGCCCGCGCGCGCCCGCCCGTCTGCGGCTCCGCAAACTCGCGCTTGTCCGCCGCGCGTCCGCAGCATCGAATGACGAGCCGGCAGCCCTGCGCGGGTCGCGCTCCGCGTCTCTCGCTTCGGGTGGCCACGCCCCCCCGCTGGCACCCGATCGTCGCCGCTTCTTTGCACTTTCGCGCACCTGGTCTACCTGACTTGTGAGGGAGATGTAGCTGCGAATGTAGCTGGAGGATGTGGTATCGTAGTGCGGGTTTTGTGTGTGGTAGATAAAGCTTCTTTTCACTTCGCTGTATTTTATTTTCGTTACCCACTCTGTGCCCATATGTGGTATCGTAGGGCGGGTATGGCGTGTGGTAGGTAGAGATGAAAACAGCTTCTTTGCACTTAGCTGTGTTTTATTTTCGGTACCCACTCTGTGCCTCATATTGTCCTCGTAAAACCACCGTAAAACCTCCGTTTTCTCATAATATCCGCACCTTGAAATCTTCCTCCCACATGCCTTCACCCTGAAACCCTCTTGTCCCCAACCTGCTCCTACAATGCCCTCAACATGTCTCGGCAATGTCCGCCTCCTCCGACGTCTATCCCACCATTTGTCCCACACCTTTCGTTTCCACCCACCACAATCTGTTTCTCGTACACCTGTTCTACCTTATTAGTAAGGGAGATAGAACAGCAGTTCTATCCTGGTAGATGTGGTATGGTTGAGCGGGTATTGCTTATGGCAGATGAAGGTGAAAAACAACATATCAGAGCTTGAAGCAACGAAAATTGTTTCTGCCTGACCCAGGTATGACAACTGTTGGGATTGGAGGCGATATAAGAACAGAATATAGATTCATGTATGAAGCGAGATTATAGGTGAGCAGTCGAACAACAGACGACAAGATAGAACTGTTGGGAAGGGAAGTTGATAGTGACGAGGGAATAAGTAAGCCTAGATGTAAGAAGCACGCGAGTTTGAACGGGCGTAGAGTGGGAGATGATTTCGAACGGCACAACGGCCACTACTACTGAATGGCCCATGACTTGAGTTTCGCCAGAGTGTGGCAGATGGGGAGCGACATAACTGATTGGTTATGCTCTAACCCAGAGAGAACCGACAAAGAGATTGAGGGCCAGAAGCGGCAATGGTGGTGGGGGCTTCAGTGGTTGAAATTAGCGCCTGAGTAACAAAATCGGAGAATAGTTGAGAGAAGTGTGGTCCTGCAAGTGTGGATGTGAACTAGGTGGCTCTCTTCAGCACGACAACAGACGGGGCTTCGCAGGAGCCTGCGTGGGAGTGATGCGAGCGTTATTGAGGTCAGGGATGCGAGTCGCGAGAGCGGGGGCGGGATGTAATTTCGATCGGCGGCGGCGGCGGCGCGAGCGTCGAGCCCCCTCCAGCTCCTCTCCGCGGCTGTGTGGCGGCGGCGTGCGTCGCCCCGGGCGCCGTGGCAGGTGGGCGGAGGCGTGGCCGCCGGGGCTAGCCACCCGGAGTGCTGCCGAGGGACGGGGGCGGTGGCGACAGCGGGGGCGGTGGGGTTAGCCATTATCGGGTGGCCGTTGGGGACCTCTCGCGTTGCACACGCCCCCCCCCCCACACCACCGCTCCCGTGCCCCACTCGCCCAGGGGCTGCTGGTTGCATAATGCAACGTCCTGCCGGCTCCCGCAGCTTGGCTGCTGCGAGTAGGGGTTTTCTTACCGCGCGTGCTTGTTCCGGAGAGCCTGGTAAACAAAGCGTAGCCAAGACGATAGAGGAACGCCCCGTTCACATAGAAACATTGTGTGAATAAGATCTGAATACAGAATTTCCAGGTGGTTACAAAAATAGGTTAAGGAGTGATAACTTGTTAATGATTAGTATGCACGAGTGTAGAAAGTTTGCAAATTCCACGCGTTTACCTTTATTCGAGAGAAAAAAACGCACTATCACACTCCACTCATGAAAAACGAATATAAAATTAAATTATTTAATGCTACCCAGTGAAATTAGACCAGAAACATTACAATTATTTCTTGACATATTCCACACATTAAACTGTGAGGGGTTAGGGGTCGGTTTAAAGATTTTCCTTCTTTTTCTGCATGTATATCCGTAAATATAAATCTTACCGAAAATTATGCATTTTATAAAGTTAAAGTAGGTATTATTCCCTATAAGAAAGTTCATATATTATATTGTTGTGCAATTAACCCTTTTAAAGTTACGCCTTTTCTTAAATATGTTCCTTATAAAAATGACGTTATGATGCGTTCAATGAAGGGAAAATATTTCATTTTTGTTTAACATTTATCAACAATATAGATCCCCTCGTCTACTATAGAGTCCCTTTCTCATTGACAGTTGTAGTTTTACGCGGTAAACATGATTGTTCCTTTTATGATATTTGTACTCGTATATATTGTTAATTTATGTGTTTACTGTGTACACAAATATTTACCAAAAAGCTTTTACTTACAATGTTTTGCACAAAATATAACAAAACATTGTTGAAAAGTATTGAACAAAAAAAGCCTTCCGTTCATTGAACATATAACATCATTTTTATAAGGGATACATGGCTAAAAAGGGATATAAGGCTTAAAATGGCTATTCCATATATAAAAACAAGAATTTTAAAAGCCTACAACTTTAAAAGCAAAATGTTACAACAAAATCTTCTACAAATTTTTTGGTAGGAAGTGTTTGTTACTCTATTTTTTATAGAGCATTATTTTCGGCAGGATATATGGTTATGGAGATACGTGAAAACAACGAAGGGAAAACGCACATAAGCCCCTCCTACCCCCAGCACACGCTCACATTTCAGTGAGGTGTAGAAGTGCATAAACGAAATAAAATATGGAGTAGAATTATAATTTAGGTGTGCTTGATCGAACCTTTCAAATACTAGCAATCTGCGACGCTCGTTTAATAAATATCTCAACTTCTTTTGTGATCATCTAATATATAGCATGACAAGCAGTCAATATGTTCCACGAGAACTTCACCTTATCTCATTCTAGCAATCACATTCATTTCAGTTGAGCATTAGTCCAAAAACTCCGTATCATGAATTCTGATTCAGTGTACTTAAAGATATTCCATAAAGTTGACCTCATTTCTTTAATTGTTTTAGTTAGGTATGTCCTGGCTATATCAAAATATTGCTGAATTTTGAAATTTTAGAGCTCGTGTAAATGTGCAAAGAAGTATGTGTTTGTTGAAAACGTTTTTCAGACCAACGGTTATATACTCGTAGTTGTAGAAATTCGTTTTTACTGAAACTAAGCACCACTAAGCTTTTAGTTGTGTATTTGCATCGACATGAAATCAGTGTTGACTTATAACGCGAGTTATACCGTGTGTCCATTAAATGCATTAGAAAAACGTTGTTAGTTAAAATATGAAATATACTGGTGTTATTTTTAATTTGTTTATGAGGTAATTTTAGTTTTTATTTGTAACAAAATCAAATTAACCAAAAGTTCCTTCCCCAGAGGTTAATATTTTTGAGAATATATACATAATGTTACGCAATTCCTCATTAGATTGTCATTTGTTCTATATTAATCACGTGAGGTCGCTCTGGGAGTAGACCGGGAGTACGCTTTTGTGGTGGAACACGTGATCGATTCCACATATATATCCACGAAGGCTGCTTTGATCAGCAGAGAATCACAGCTTGTAAGCGCGCACTCAAAGGACTAGATGCAAGAGATATTAGAATAGGGAGTTGCTTTTGCCAGTTCCATGGAGATATCTCGAGGTATATTGCAAAGCCTTTTTTTTGTATGATACTAATGAATGTAAGATAAGGCATCAAAAATAAAGAAAACTTATGGAACATATGTTGTGTTGTAGAAAAATATTTTTCTGGTGTTCATTGATTTTATAAGTAGTGGTGAAAATAAGTTTTTTCTTTATAAAGGTGAGAGTGTAGACTACAATTGACTCTATAATGCCTCATTTTTAACACTTTTAATTAATGTTCTATTTCTGTATAGGGGTTAGTTTGTACCTTGCGATGTATTTTATGAATTAAAAATTGCGTTTTCAAAACAATGGCCTGGAGAATTTTTTTTCAGAACTTCGTAACGTGTTCAAAGCAAACTCTCGCTGCGCTTTCGGTCCATGCTCTTTCAATGCGCATTACAGCGAGCAATTAGTAAGCCAAGGAGAGAAACTGTCCATTGAGAGCTTCTGTAGCGGGAAGGTCAAAGTGTTGTCGAGAGAGAAGCAGCGTGCGCTTCTGTAAACTTTAAGCGCGAGCAATAATATCGCAGTCTCTCTGTCTACAAACACCACCGACAAACCCTGTTCGCTGAAAATAGCTGTTGGCGCGTCTGTCTTCTCCCCTCCGCCCCTCCCCTCCATCTCATATCGCCGACAAGAAACTTAGTTGCACGTAACAGGTCCAATGAGGTTGTCGGCCGAAATTTAGTCATTGTGCGGCGCAACCAGAGCTTGCACTGCGCGCCCGCGTCGAATCGATGCCGGGCGCTAGCGCTCAGAGCTCCCGCGCATTTGTCGGCCGCCGCCGCTTCCGGCGAAGCGCTTCCAATAACCGGAGTTCCACGCTGCCCGTCAAAGAGCTTCCACGCCGAAGGACGTGTCGCCATCCAAGGTATTGAACATGTTGCCGCTGCTCCCTCGCCGCCACAACCACCTCATCCGCAACCACC